TGTATCCAAAGATGTATCTTCGGGAGTGGGGTGGGGAGGAAAAGTGCTCCCAATAACAAGGTTTATGGGTAAGTGTGTTTGCATCACGTAATTTAGAGTCTGGGATAGAGTAGGAAATCACAGTTTTGGTTTCAATTTGGCATCATTTACGGCAAAACTAATCAGTTGTGTGTAGAATAGTCCAGATCTGGAACCTTTCCCTAGCCCGGGGATTAGGCTGAGGGCGGGAGATGACTGACATTTCAGACTAGAATTGGAAAATACTAATCATCAGGTTATCTTTGACAGCAACCAGAAACACTTTACCTGCAGCGACCGACTGTGAAAACAGCTAGTCTGGGAGGGATTTGTTGTCTATTTAACAAATTGACGTCAGTTTTTCATGCGTTCGTCCTGCTTTTGTTCATGAATTTCGTCATAACATTGTCAAAGTGGCTGTGAATTGTCGAGTGGATCCACAGACTACTTTGCCAATGTTATGACGAAACTCATTGTCAATAACAGGACAGACGCATGAAAAACTGACGTCAATTTGTTTTTTACAATAGCAAATTGTCAAATTGTCCACTCCCCTCCTCGCTCGTTGACGCATCGCATAAATTATAAATTCATGTGTTTGTCCGCTGATTGACAATGAAAATTGGCCAATAAGCGCGCGAGAATCGCTGCAGTTGTAAAAAAATGTTCAATTCAGCATTAATTCTCAACCTCAGATGATGCATTTTCTAGCTTTCTGATTGTTTCATTAAATCTCGGTTATGAAAATGGTTCAATAAAACGAAAGTCATTGCTTCTTGTTAAGTTTAATTACTGTAATAATATATATTCTTCCAGCCAACTTAAGTAATGTAGAACTCTCCAGCTGGTCACTTGTTTTCAATTTTCATTACTTACGCTTCATTCTACATGTGACCTTAACAACGAAACCCAAAGAGCTGCAAGAGGCTTCCTCCCTCACACTCAAATAATTTCTCCTATCTGCGTACGGCTATCACGCAAGCTCAGCATTTCTGGGATTATAGAACTTCTGCGCACGCGCAGGGTATGAATCCGCCGACCAAGCTCATCAACAGTCACAAGTAAGCTCAAAAGCCCTTTCCGCTCGTTTTTCCGATCTCCTCTTCCTAATTGAGCAAATCTGATTTGATCAAGAATATGCTGTGCCTTCTGAAACATTAGGATTGATAAGATAGTTCTCAAACCCAAACTTGAGCTTCTTTTACCATTTTATACCCTTCACCCCTGGCTAGAGGACATAAGCCAACGGACAGAATTCAAATTTTCAGTTCCACAAAGTATTACGCCTTCTAATCTGATCTTTTAAGCCTCCGCTGTTGTCGTCTGCCCTTGCTGCACTGTCACAGCCTGTTTTGTGACCGTCACGTTCCTCAGGCCGTCGTACAAACGTTTACTGAGACAACGTCGCGCAAATAGTTGGTTCACCGCCATCTTTCAATGCGGGGATGGGCGTGTTGTAGTGTGCCAAGAGGTTAAGCGACTTTGAAAAAGAAACTTCAAGGAAAACTAAGTTTTCTCGCCATTGTTTAAGAGTCTCAAAACGCTGTATCGCACAAAACAAGGTGCAACATGAAGATGAAGTCAATCCGGGTTGGGAAGTTTAGTGGAAGCCATTTACTGGTTTACCTGGAACTAATCCGGGGATCTATGCTGTAACTACAAGCTGGAAGATTTTGCCGTACAGATACCAAGAATAGCTCCACTTGCACAGATGAGCGCAGAAATCTGTGTGCAAGGTCATTTTATAAGTAAGCTTTGCAATGTTTTTATTCCCCATCTTCCCATTCATCTTCAGCATGATCATTTTCTCCGGGGTTATCTCCTTGCTCGTCCCCAGCCTCTTCAGGTTCTTCACGGTAACTAAGAGTATTTAGCAGTTCTCTCATGGCGACCATCAGGTTTTCCACGCCCCTTGCGAGTTCTGTATCCCGCAAAGGCCTGGGCCCACCCTCTGCTCCCTCTATGGGTTGTTCAAATCTCACTTCCACGCGTGGTCCGTTAGGGGCCTGGGCGTTGAAGGAAGGAAGCAGCGAGCGGAAAAACATGGATAAAGGACCGTGGTCTTCCTCACGACTTATATTCCTCCTGAAAAGATGACGGAAAGATGAATTGTCCTTATTTATGACAGCGGAGGATGACTCTCTAGAGGATGACTTTCGTAATTATTGTTATTTGATACTGTAGTAAATTTTGAAAATCAGCTGGCCCGGTTGTTCGAAGGGTTGATAACGCTATCCACCGGATATCACGTCTAGTGGATTGCGAAGTTTGTTTTGTTAAAACTTCAAACATATCCACTACATAGCAGAAAAAGACACAATGAGATAAATGGACAGAAGCAAGAAGATGTAGGAAAGCAGACAAGCACGTAAGTAGCTAAATAAATCATAAACTTTTAACCTTTCGAGAATGTTGTGTTGTCAAACAAGTCTGTTTTGTATAGACGGCTTGTAAAATGAGCAGAATAATTTTTAAGCCATGAATATTAACTTAACAATTGCTTAAAAACAAGAACCAATTAACCGTGTGGGTGACGGAAGTTATAAAAAAATTATTAAAGTTATTAAAAATATCTTGAATATACGTCGTTACCTTGATGGCCGCGCGTAGCCTGTAACTGAATCTTGAGGTGGCAGAGGATCATAGGACACAAGGGGAACATTCGCCAAGTCCTAAAACAAAAGAGAAAAAGTAGCAACTGAAACCTGGGGGATATAAGATAAAGCATGCTTAAATTTGAAGCACATTGTTTGACTGACAGGAACTACACAGTACAGTACTTGAGGCGATCGTGACCACGAGGCGCTGTGGCTTCATGGTTAGCGCGCTGGCCTTAAGATCGAGCGGTCTGGGTTCGAGCCCTGGCTGAGAACATTGTGCTGTGTTCTTGGGCAAGACACATATACTCTCAGTGTCTCTCTCTACCCAGGTGAATAAATGGGTACCGGCGAATTTAATCCTGGGGGTAACCCTGCGATGGACTAGCATCCCATCCAGGAGGGAGTAGAAATACTCCTAGTCGCTTCATGCTACAGCGATAAGCTCCAGCCTGACGGGTCACTTGGCTCGTATATAGATTTCACCTTTTACCAACCTACAGAGCTTGAGAAAAAGTAAGGAAAGAACCAAAAGAAAACAACGAGATCTTACCATAGGAAGAGAAGCAGTAGCATCTTTAATATCTACAACAAAGGAAGTGTTAATTTGATTTAACTATAACAAATGTTCTAGGCCATGATTGAATCACCTTCAAGAAAGGAACGCACCACATATTTCGAGTCCTGCTTCAATAAAAGCGTAGGATTAATCACCACAATTGAAGTAAAAGTGTTCTGGAAGTGTTTGAAATTCCGAAAGCCTAACTGAGAGTAGAGTTAAATTGATTTACCTGACATGATCACGTGCCTGTAAACATTTCGCGGTGTTCCCCTGTAACGTACTTGTCGCCTGGATAAGGAAAAAGAGAGTAATGATAACAATCTCAACTCTCAGCTCAACTTGACCAACACAAAAAGGAGGGAGAAACAGTTTGAATTCAATTTCTAATTTTGCGGTAGAAACTGCAAAGAACCAATCAGATCTCGAGTTAGTAGCAAGGAGAGTAGGAAAAATTGTAACGAGCGCCGCCAAGCACGGGTAAACTTGCCTCCGGTCACAATGGCTTGAAAACATGGAACCAGCGCCAAGCGCGGTTTAAACGTATGCAGGCCAGGTCAAGGTTGGTTTCGGTATTGCTCCGATTGGTTGAAATCAAGGTTGTTTGCTCTGATTGGTTAGAAATCGCTGTAAGAACTTTTTCTCACTTATACATATACAGTCGAACCGTCCGTAAAGGACACTATTGGGATCAGAAAACAATGCAAGAGAGATGTATGCTTACGGGAGGTTAAAAATGTAGTGTTTGTATATGGCTGGGACCAAGAAATGTTCACCTATGGGAGGCGTCCGTTAACGGAGGTTCCACTGTAGGTCAGAAAATGTAAAAGATAAGCAGACAAGTGATTACGGCAGAGTATTGGGCGAGAAAATCGTTCTTAATTAGCTATAACTCACTTGTGTTTACATTCCTCAACCAATGGATCACGTGCTTCAACCCTTTCTAGAACTTTTTTTGCATTCTGCACAAGCCAGTCGATCACCTGCAACGAAACTCAACAGTTCAAAGTTTGGAAACAAGTTCGTTACGTCACTTCAATCATTTACCAGATTTACTAGATCAAGGTGTTTATAACAGTAAAATTACGTGACTAAGAATTGTGCCATTCACCCAAGTTAAGATGCTATTCATGGCAGTCCATCGCCATGATAACTGTGAAGTTGCCTAGCAATTCGCCAAAACACCTATATACTGTAGGATAGAAAACAAACACGGGAAGAACCCAATCTAGGCTTATACCCAGACCTCTTGATCCAGAGTCCAACCGGCTCTAGTCATAACCTACCAAGGCTTACGAGAAAGTAGACCCAGTTGCTGCATAAAGATGTTGCCGTTATCGAGTCAAAACTACTAAGCAACTCTCTCTTTCTCTTTTTTTTTATACTACAAAGGCATAATGGGTGCTAGTATTATGGTACAACCGCAAATCCTCGAATTAGCCCCCCCCCCCTCGAATAAGCGCCCCTCCTATCGGCCGAAAGTTAAAATAAGCGCCCCCTTCCCTCCCCCAATTTTGTAGACGAGTAATGAGACAACAAAGGATGTATAGTTTCGTCATGTAGTCTTAGATTTGTACATTGTTTCAGTTTCTGAACACGTTAAGTGAATACGTTGAACACGTTAAGTACTAACGGTGCCGCGATTTAAACTTTAGGATCAGCTTTTTATGTCGATAAACAGCTTATGTTGTTGCTAACGCGCAGATGATGTATTAAAAAGATGATCATGTCAGGCCACGATTTGGGAAAAGTTAAATAAGCGCCCCCCGTCTTCTTCTAAATTTGAAATAAGCGCCCCGGGCGCTAATTCGAGAATTTACGGTAGTTTGAATTCGGAAGGATCATTATCACAGGGAAAATCCGTTTTTTGCCAATAGCAAGAAAATACATGTAAGTTCTCGAGAAGAACGCTTTTCCAAAGGTCACCCAGAAAGAGTTCGTATTTAAATACAAACGAAATAGTTTCTTCGTAACGGCAGCAATATAATGTTTTGTGGATGTTCCACAATTATTTTTACCCCGTTAAAGTTAGGTTAACAAGATTGATGCAGTTAGTCTTACCCCGGGTTCTTTCCAGGCGTGGTATGTCCTGCCTATGTACAGCGCCTCAAGCTGCTTCAAAGCAACGGGTTCACTGCAGACAAATGCAAAAAGACCATTTGAAAAATCAATATTGTAACGTAGAATTCATGAAATAACTGACACAGGTTGAGAAAAAAAAAACCCATTACATTTGCATGTATTCTCCAGTTTTGATGCCGTTAAATTCTGAAAATAAGGTTACATTTCACTCACAAGGTTCTATCTCGAGCTGGTTATAAATGCATTTGGCTCGCTGTTTTTTATCATGCCTTTTAAAATGAAACTTGGGTTTATCTCAATTACCCTTGAATAAAATGCTATCGGATCAGCGGTTCATTACCAGATCTCTCCTTTCTCCCCTAAGAGCAGATGAATCTGATTAGCAGCGATTAGTTTATTCCTGTCTATTTTCTAGTTTCAAATAGTTTGGACAGTTTTTTTCTTCTCGCAACGAACTTCACAAGAAGGTTAACTGAAACCACACACAGTGTTTACAATACCTGATTCCTGGTGAAGGACAAAAGAACGGGTGCTGAACGAGGGTGGAGTCTAACACAACGTTACACTTTTCCATCAGAGGACATAAAACCTAAGAAAACACCATTGTCAGCTCACTGGCCCAATTTATACTAGAGACGAATCATCCGACGCCAAATTTATATTACGGAGACGACTTGTCCATCTGAGACGATTTATCCCTTTGAGACGGATAACTCGCCTAGGTATAAATCCGATATTTAGACAAATTGTGTGGCCAAATTCATCTTCCGCTGATTCGTTAATCGTCTCAGACACTCTCAACGACACAGGGTAACCAGCAAATGTACAGCTTTTAACGTCTACACGAGAAGACGATTACAAAACACTTCCTTGTTTGTTTATAAGAAATTTAAAACTGGGTCTTAAATGTTGTTGTCGGATCTGTAACTCTCTGGTTTTGTACTGAGGACAATCGTTAGATATCCCTCTTAATATTTAAATCTTATGGTTAGTCCAAATAAGCAGCATTGAAACCTACCATTGGAAACATAATCAATGCTATCTGGAGCTGCAACGAAACAACAGAATAAGGATGAGAAAGTTTAAAAAAGAAGTCTGGTACAAAACAAATGAATAGATAAACTACTTTTACGAGTTTAAAAAGTCAGTCAGTTGATAGTCCTATAGAAACGGACTTGGGTACTTTGCAGATTTGTGGGAGGCGCGGTGACCTTGTGGTTAGTGAGCTCGTCTCTGGATCGAGCATTTCGGGTTTGAGCCATGGCTGGGGACACCTTGGTGTGTTCTTGGACAAGACACTTTACTCTCACAGTGCCTCTCTCAAGCCAAGTGTATAAATGGGTACCAGAAAATTAAATGTTAAGGGTAGCCCTTCAGTGGACTAGCATGCCATCCAGGGGAGCGCAGAAATACTCCTAGCCACTTCATGCTACACAAACCGGGATAAGCTCCAGCCTGATGGGCCACTTGGCTCATATGTAGACTTAACCTTTTTACCTTTACTTTACAGATTTACATCGTAGTGGTTCTCGCTTAATGGGCTAAAATGTGGATTTTACATGAAAATTAAAAGCAGCAAACAGATTGCTACCCAAAGAAACTATTTGTTGTAGTTAGATCTACAGTAGCTGATGATGTTGAAGTAAAGTCCTACCCATGAGACATGGATCACACATGGGGGGAACACAAACGTTCGCTAAATTTGTTAAAGCAAATTTTGACACCATTAATTTTGTGGTGATGTTCCAGAATCTTTTGGCAATCACAAAGCCAGTTTGTTCACACCATTAAAGGGAAAGGGTCTATCAAAAAAGGCAACTTACCAATTCATCAGCTCTGTTTGTTTGACCATTTTGTCTGTTTGACTGGAAATAGGCAAGAGCCACAGAGAAAGCAAAATTTGGTAGCTGAGACAGGTTCCTGTGGGACTAGAGAATTTAAAGTGTCAGTGCTAATAAAACACAATATTATTGCGATTGTTTTGTTTAATATGTATTTCCTTTTTAGTTTTATTACCTCACCTTTGAACTACACTAGAACTTGTAGTGTTGATACAACTGTTGGTATAGCTGTAAGTATTATTTAATTACGTGATTACAGTTTATAATACACATTTGACAGGATGGCTAAACACACAAGATTGTTTTTAAAATTCATGCCACTTTAAGTTAAAGAAGCAGATGCAACCAGCATGAGTCTGAGAAAAGTGGACAGTCCTTGTATAAATTAAATTCTTGCTCAAATTCAGGCATGCATCAAAGTTTCCTTTCTTAACTCTCTCTTATGTTTGTATTTAGGCTATGTGAATTAGCACAGCCATACCAAGATCACTCCTTTTAATCACATAGGTTTTAAGCAAACAGTTTTTTAATGTCTGTTTGTGGATAAAAACTCTTGCTGCAATACAAAAATTAACATCTGCTCTTAGCCTGAAATGTGAGGGTGGGAGATGACTGACACTTCAGGCTAATCTGCTCTCTTTAATACTTAATATCTAATGTCTTACCTCCCATTCCTCAAAGAGTCTTATAAGGAAACTGAACTGCTCAGATTGTAAGGCATAGAAATCAATCATAAGGAGAACACCAAGAGGATCTTCATCTGGTTCCAGACTGAAAACAAGAGTTTGAAAACTACAGCAACAGTTATCACACTGATTAACAAAGGAAGAGGCTAGTGGAGTGTTCTTCAAAGTGAAGTAAGAATAATGTTAACAATTAAGTGCATTTCAGTTACATGTAAGTCTGTTTTATTCTTACAGATGTGAAAAGAGAGATGACTCGCTGGTGCTAACACTAACTGTTATCTTCATCTCTCTAAAGTGAAGCAATTAGGAGTCTCAACACTATCCCTAGCCTCCAATACAGACCCTCTTTGGGCATATCACACAATCTTCTTGTCATGGAGAAAAAAGATTGTGTGACAAGACCAAAGAGCATGTGCACAGGAGGCTTAAGTCCACAATTCAATCATACCCATTCATTTCATTTTATCTCTTCTTCCCACTCCCTGAACAGGATCAAGGAAGAGAGACCCTGGGAGCTAGCACAACTACATGTAATGCTTATATAAGCTGGTCCTATTCTCCATACAGAGTGGAGGAGACAATGGAATACAGCAAGCATTATGACATGATTACATTCAACTGGAATTTAGCGATCCTCTCTCACCTAAGCAAGAGCTTGCATAACTCCAAAGCTGTTCTGTAGCAACCTAAAATTTGAAAATTAAACAATCGAGTTTCAGGCAAAGCAAATTCTGCTGGAAGTCTTTCCTCTCCCTAAAGTGTACATAACTTTGGTTAACCATATCAAGAACTAGAAATTCCAAGCTGTGTTGATCACCTGGGCAATTACAAGCATACTGCCCTATAGTGAGCCATGCACACACTCATCAACTGACACAAATAGATTAGCAATTGAAACCATCATCGTCTACAGGTGTGTTACCTTTTTGTCCCACAAAGATGATTTGACGAAACAAAGCAATAAAGAAGGACCTGCAAAGACAAAATAAATATTATATACTGTTTGCCTTAAGTTATTACAATAGGGAACGTCATGAAATAATTGGAGCTTAAAACAAATTTACAAGCACGATATGTGCGCAGAACTTGCTGTAGGTGTCAGTGCTAGACAACTAATAGGCTTTCAAAGATGTCAATAAAGTTACAAAGTTACTAGTTTTTAAGGGCTCTAGAGGGGTTTTAGTATGATTACATCTGCACAGTACAAGATTTGACATAAAGATGCAAATTATCACTTTCATTGTTTCTTGTCCCATTCTGACAAATTCTGCAAGGCTTGATATTTGACAATCATGTGTTTGGTTTGATTGGCTTCCATACTAAATTCTCTTAAACATGTTACCTGTTTTCTGCCCTTCTGTACTCAAGCCTTGAATAGCCTTGTGTAAGACTGAACAATGTGTGGAAACTGTGTTCAAGACAGTAGAGAGCTCTTTCTGAAATACAACAGAATCAAAATAATTGTTTTCAAACCTTCAGTTCATATGAGTGGATGTTTCAGTATCTACAGCTGGTGATCTCAGATTTGCACTGGCTTAACTGCATACAGTTATAGTTCATTGAGCATAAAAAAAAATTTTCAACCTTTTTTGGGACACATTTGGGTTGTTGGTAAGGAGGAGAGACACAAACAAAACATTGTAACTCTGACCTATTAGCTCTGCAGCCATCTGGTAATCTTCTCCCATCTTACAGATTTCACTGAGTTGCAGAAGAGAGTCTACATGGTACGGATGAGTGTTTAAAATGGTCTACAACAACAAAAAACAACAACAACAACAATATGAATATTAAGTAGCCATGTATTAACCAGAAGTGGATAAAGGCAAATTAATCAGTACAGTTGAACCTCGATTATCCGCACTTGTTGGGACTAGACGAAATAGTCCAGATAATCGAGGGTCCGGATAATTGAAAATATGAATATTAATGAAGAACAAAACTGTTTAAATAAAGCAACATTTAATCGTGAAACAACACTTCTACAAATTGCTTGGAAAACAATATGGTCTACTGTACATCTTGAACCACTCAATTCTCAGCCAATCGGAACTCATTTGAGTGTTCTTCATTAGTTATGACCCGTGCGAGTGCTGCTTTTGCTCTTTAAAAGCAAAACAACCTCATTTTTGACTGCACTTTTCAATGCTATAGTTTTAAAAAGAATATTGCTACGGATCTGGATCATGACTAATAAATGATCATGACAAAACTGGGACTAGAGAAAAAGTCTGGATAATTGAGAAATCTGGATAATCGAGGTATGGATAATCAAAGTTCGACTGTAGTGAGTTTTTGAAGCTGATTTTTGGTGCATTAGCCTTTCGTCAGAACAATGTGGGAGATTAAGGGTTGTATTTGTGTCTATGTGGTGTACAGAGGAATGTTTCCTTCAATAGAATAACTCCACATGATGCACGTTTTTGATTTAAACTGTTCCTAACTTCAAACCAAAGAAAACTAGAAGTGGCATTGAATTTTAGCAATTGAACACCATGAAACTTAACCCATGTAGTATACACATAGTTGGAGAGGGGCAATGTGAGAGTACCCAGTCTTGTGCAGGATGTTAAGAAGGCGAACCTTCAAAATGATCGAGTTTACTTCTGAGAAAAATAACTCAGTTTCTAAACTCAGCGCTCTTAAATGGATCTCTTTGGTTTTTTTTTTGTTCAGTTAACTTAGTGACAAAACTACAATGGACATACCGGGGTAATTTACTTACAGAAATGTTGTTGGGGTTTAATGATTCTACTGCATCAAGAAATAGAAACTGGACTTCTTGATAAGAAGGAGAGTGCTTAAAGGCAAAATAGTTGTACCTAAAAAGGAATGACAGAAAAGCCTAAAAACACAACCTCTAAAACAACAACAATATTACTACTCATTTCCAAAGAAAATCTTAAAGTTCTGTGCCTTAAAAAATTCCCTCAATGGACCAACAGAGGAGTAAGTCCTCAGTAATGTTCCACCTAAAAGAGCTCACTTTTCAGGTTAGAGGTACATAAATGGGCAGGTATTGCACCAAGGTGAAGGATGAAAAAGGTCAAAAATTGCCATTTAGATCATTAAAAGGCTTTATCAAAATAGCTCTGGCAAATGCACTTGCTGTGTTATCTGTTAGGTATTTTAAGGATTAATAAATCCAAGGTTATAGAAAAGGGCTAATTCATGGGGTATTTTTAAGGACTGTACATGTAAATCAAACGGTTCACTTTTGTTTGTCAAAAATGGTATTTTGAAGGGCGAGGGACTGATCCACAGGATAAAGCCTCTCTATATAAACTGGGTATACCCTACCTTCAGGAAATTCCCACTTTATTAATGAGATCTGTAATGTAATGTGGTTTTACTTACAGGTAGATTAGTTCTGACAGTTGGGTGGAAATGAAATAATTCAACTTACCCACGTTTGATTCCCAGGAACTCCATACTTATTCCTGTGAAGAAGCAAAGATATCAAACCGTATGTAACAGGAAAGAAGTACTGTTAGTATTGAATAACAAACTAATGAGGAATCATGTTAACATGTCACTAACCAGTTGCTCCCATGTGTGGCCATGATGGCTTCACTGACACCAACCTGTTGGTGTGGCAAACAAAATTTATTATTTGGACTGGACTGAACTACAACCCTTGTGACTGCTTGAACAATTCTGCAATTTCTGTTTAAAACTCGCAGCCATTATTAGGGTCGTCACGCAATGCTTCTCCCCCACTAATGGCTGCTTAAACCCGAACCCCATTTGTTTCTGCAGATTAGCCAATCACAACATCCCTCACATATTCTTGAGGCGGTCGCGCCAAGACTAATTGTCCAATCACAACTCGTGTTCTATCGGCTACTGATAGTGAAACCAACATGGTGTCGCTCGAAGAAGCCTTTATTTTGGTGTCTACCAAGTTCAAAATCCCCACTTTAAATTATCATCAGAAGTTGGCAATTGAAAAAATAGTTTCAAATAGGAAAGATGTTTTTGTAAAATGGGGTTGACTAGCCTACACAACTTCTACGGTTTGTGACATTTGTAGATTTGCCGTTCTTTGTTCGGTCACTCGACCTTTCTTGTCACTTCACTCGTGTTCATGAAGGGCACTTCATGTTGTGTAATAAGGAGATATTTTAAGTGGAGTTGAGCTGTTAGATCGTGCTATGGCAAATGTTTATAGGTCATAGGTCTGCATGGTTTCCRCTGTTATCTGCATGTCGACTCGTTGAGTTTGACACCTCTGTAATTTGCCATGTGTTTATGCATTGTTTAGGCTCATTTCTATTGCAAGATATGCTTTTAAGTCTACATGAATTTGCTTTTGAGGGACAAAATATGAAAATATGAAATATGAAATTTTTGGTGTTTCCAACGCATCCGAATCTTCGTGGATGGCAGAAGAAGTGCAAGTGGTATTGGCAAATCGCAGGGATTTAGATGCTTTTCCTCGAGGTGATGAAGTTGATGTATTTTTGGCACCTCTGTCGGCATTCTCATCTGGATGTAGTAGGCGTTTTGCCCTGAGATTTTCTCTTGCCTTCAAGACTTCTTCGATTTCTTTCTTTAGCTCCTTCAACTTATCTGATGCCCGATTAAATTTTATCTAATGCTGGTAGCCTTTGTCTCTACAGACGGACAGTTCACTGTTTTCTGAGTAGCGACTCACGTCCACGATGGCGAGGATCGGATGACTTCAGCAATGTCGAGTGAACTCTTACCGAAAATGAAGATTTTGTTATTCTTGAGGGAAGCCAACGAACAAATAAAGCACCTAGAACTACTTTCGACTATTTTCTTCTGAGTTAGATCCATAGGACATCTCTGGGATGTCTTGCAACATCTCGTTAAGGAGGTGATGAATTTACGCGGGGAAACTGACGTCACTGACAAACTACTGATACGTGATTGGTTTCAGAGCTAACAATAGGCAACGCGTGATGGGTGCATTCTGTAATTTTCACGTGAACTCTAAACAAAGGGAAACAAATGGGGTTCAGGTTTAAGCAGCCATTAGTGGGGGAGAAGTGTTGCGTGACGACCCTAATAACGGTTGCAGAGGAGACTAACATGTCAGCTAATTCCCCCAACAATGTCTACAGAGTCATTTACAATCATTGTTGAAGACAAGATTAGAAGTCAGTTTAGTGAAGATGACTCTAGTAACAGTATTTCTCTTACATCATCTGTCAGGAATACGAAGGATACATCAAATAAAAAAAATTGTTTCTCAGTTATATAGATTAGAAAAGGTTTCAATTAGTTAACTGTGCAAAAACTGGTAGTTATATGTAGGAAAAAAGTTTGAATTAGACAGACAGAGAGGATTGCATACATGTACATCAATAAACAAGTGCACAGTCCTTCATCACAAACTCTTTCATTCTCTTTCACATTGTTAATCGCATGAATTACCTTGTTGAGCGATGATAGACTCGCTGATGTGCTCTTCTTTGTCTGTACAAAAAGATTAATATTTAATGAAAATGAAAAGTAGCCTGAAAAACTAATATGCCCATGAGAGATGGTTAGAAGGAATACTTGCTGACACCATTGCATACATTTGTATGACTTTGCTTACAAAAGGCATCACATTTCAGATTTCAGTAGGGAATAAACTTGCAGAGTTTTTTCCAATGTATTAATTGAACAGGGCACAAAGTTTGACATTAAAACTTAAATAATCCTTAAACTATGGTATGGCAAGGCTGTCACCTGGTTGCTGGCATGACTGTCTTGACTAGCAGCTGCAGTGAAAATCACTAACAATTTGACCTTTGAAAATAACCAGAAGACATTCCTTTGGGTGGACCCATTTTAAGCACATAACTGCCTAATTTAGTCGTGTGGCCAGCTGTTTCAAAAATTAAATTTATTTAATGACTTCCCATGATCACTGATAGGTGACTTACCTTTGTTCTGCTCTGACAATATGAGATCCAAATCTTCTCTTCATTTCATTCTCTGCATTCAAGTTTCTGGTTGTGAAAAAAGTGACCAAATTAACTTAAGTTGCCTCTCTTGCATACTGGGCAATTCTTTACCCTTGACTTGTATCTGTAACACTTACCTGCATGCATAGTAATATACCTGAAACTATGGCATGAGTAACTTGGTTTTACCATACATGATATGGGAAGTTACAAGTTGAATGTCCGTGCATGTTATACAGCCCACAAGAAAACAACAGTCAAGATAACTTATGCCAAATGTTTGACAGGAAAGCAGTTGAAGCTACATTTATGACAGATACAGCGTATTGTTTAGAGCTGAAATATACCAATGCAAGCAGTCTGTACATTACTGCTGAATATGTATGAGCTCTCAAGCTCTCCACGTAAACTCTATCCTCTAATAAGGCAAGAAATAACTGACTAGTACCCTTACCTGTGTTCCACTCCAAGCACAGCTTTAGTATCCAGAGCCCTAGAAATGCTCTCTCCTAATGTTGCCACTGGACCTGATTTTTGGAGCATACAAACTGTATTGAAGTCATTATGGCAGTTTTCAATTGAGTGCCGTAGTGAAACCAAAACCAAAACCAAAGTAATTGCTTGGAATGATTGCTTTAGACATGCAATTAAAAACTGCTCTGAAAAATGTAAATTTTAATCCCAAACACAGCTACAACTACATTGTACTAGTGATCATTCAAAGTAAGAACTTAAACCTGAGAGGATCTGGTAAATTCTAACTCCAATGCTGAGCTTAATCAGAATCCACAGTGCACCTTAACAATACTTTTATCACAACACTTATTTAGTTATGATTTCTTACCAGATGTTTTAATATCACTTCTTGGTTTGCTATTCACTTGTTTACTGACACCATCAACGCTTTCCTTTTGCTAATTGTTTAGAAACAAAACAGTATCATTGAGAAATCAATATCATCATTGGTAAAAATGTTTTGTTATCCTTGACCTTTATGAGGCTTGTAGCACTGTTTTTCTTATAACAATGCTCCTTCCTTGCTATAAATCAGGGATCTTGACATTGGCTCTTTATGCCTCCTGTTCTCAACTGCATACTCAAACCTCAAGCTCAGGTTCGCAGTCATGTCCAGTATACCCAATCTGACTTGATTTTGTCTTGTGCGTCACCATGCAGGAATTTGAGTGGCATGACAAAATCACAAGCATGACTAAATGACAAGCACAAGAAAATGACAAAACAAACCTTCGCTGTTCTTAAAGCATGAAATGGCCAGAAGTGGATTCAGAGAAGAAGACAATACTCATGAACGTGGGTAGTTAATGTTAACAAGTTGACTCAATTTGCACAGGCCAGCTTGGCTCGTCTTTAGTAAAGTTGATTTGTCTCACCGGAAGTCGATTCACCAAAAGGACAATGCGCATGATACATTCATCCTCTTAAAAATGTGACACCACAAGACACTACTGCATGATGTACATTCTTTATTCTAAAAGCGTGAGACCATGAACATGCTACACACAACCTATATTCTTTGTTCTAAAAATGGGATATCATGAACATGAACATCTAATGTACATTCATCTTTCTAAAAGCGTGACACCACACGCACAATGTACAATCATTGGTCTAAAAAGCCTGAGACCCTGAACACAAACACACAATGTATATTCTTCATTCATGAAATCAACATACATTGTGTTTGACCGCATTTCCAAACACCACATCACACAAACAGTCATACGATGCGTAGCAGATCTATCTTTGATGGACTTGGAAATGTGGTCAACCTCTGTCTTGAGTGCTAATTGACATTACCTTCTCAATGGAAACTAAAACTAAGCGAAAAAATGGAGACATTTAGTTGAAGTACTCACGGCCTTTGTGTGTTTCCCATTTTCTGTTTCTCCTTTTCCTTTCTTCTTTTTCTTCTTCCTTTTCTTTTTAGATGTCTGCTTTTCAGCAGGCTCTGCTGAACTTGGTTTCTCTTCTTTTACATTCTGGTCCACAACATCTGTTGTAGTATCTTCTTCTTGATCACTTTGAGAATCATTATCTGACTGTTCATCATCTACATTCAACTAAAAGAGGAAAGCTTTTGGTTTTGGGCTAGTGGAAGAGTAAAATCAAAACATACTGTATGACCAGCCATTACTGTGCTGTCACCAGGCAGCTTTAAGATGATACAATAAACATTCAGTCAATGAATGACACAGCAAATAGTAAACAGACTTTATTAACTGTTTGAAGATAGAAATATGCAATATGCGATGCACACCCACCCAATGAAACATTTGTATACACATGTTCATATAATCTGGTTCCCCTTTCATTTTTGGGGTTGTGATGTTCAGAGCTAACGGCTCAATACCCCCAGGGGGTTGTGGTTAAAAGTCAAGATGTTTAGAGCTATTTAAGAAACAGAAAACTTATTCGCTTTGCAAAGCATTTTCTTTAATATATTCCAGCTCTTTGCTCGACTTCTAACTCTCCATTTCGCTTCACTTCAAATGAAGGGCAAAGGCACTGTATGCAAAATTACTATGTGGCGCCAAAATGAACTGAAATTTTGAGTATTACACTGTACAAAAGGACTTGGGTTTTTAACACCCCC